GTACTCGCAACGAGATTCAGGTCCTTCCGCTGGTTCCTTTGGTCGAGTCCGCAAGGGGTGTGTGTGCTGCCACAAGCGCAAAATGTGTTACAGGTGCGCAAATGACTTTTTACGGGGCGAACTTCAACCCTGTTGAGCCCTCGTATAACGATGTGATAGTGGGTGAGGCTGTGGCTGCCAACCCGATTCTCTGCAGGGTGACCATTGCCACAGAAACGGAGCTTACCTGTGTCCTCAGCATTCCACGGGATAAGGAGCATGGAACGTATTCGATCAGGGTTCGTGTGCGTGCGTCGGAAACGGAGTGGGCCGCGGAGCAAAGTGCCGGATTTCTTGTCTTGGGGGACGATGCACATGTCCCTGGGTGGAAAGCCAACGATGCGCCGCATCCCGTGCCTGCGAATGATGACAAAGGGGGCAATACAGCCCTTATCGTCTGGCTTGTCTTTGGTTCCCTCCTTCTAGTGCTGCTCGTGGTTATTATTGCCATGCTTGTTTGGTTCCGCATGACCTCAGAAAAGGAGTGCGATGAAATGATTCTTTTGGAGCTGCAGCTTCTCCGTGAGATGCGTGAGAGCGCCGAGTTATCGAAGTAGGCGAGGCCGCTGACAGAGTTGTGAAACAAAAAGGAAGGAGGAAGTGATGTAAATGCATAAATAAGGAAAGTAATATGAGGAATAACAATTGGTGACTAAGCAAAACTTCTTGTTTTTTTTTTTTGTGTGTGTTTATGTGAAACGAATTAAGAGTGGTCGGTGGGTGAGTGGAATGTTCCGTTCACCATTTTTTTACGTTTATTTATTTATTTTTTTTTCCTTTTTGTTGCTGGTAATGATGTGTGGCCAATGCGCTGCCTTGCTCATCCCTTCTTGTGCGCACTGAGCCTGTCAGCAGCATCGAACCAGTGAACTATTAGCGTGTGCCGTTACACTATTATTATGATTATTATCATTTGTTTGGGCACGGTGCCTGCAGGGAAGAAAATAGAAACCAAGCATTAAAAAAAAAAATGTTTTGCTTTCTTTTAAAAAGTTGTTTTTGATCTCTTCTCGTTGTTTGCCGCCGTCCCTCCTCTTGAAGTGTGATGTGTCTCTGCCTGGGTGTATTCACGACTGTGGTATCGCTTTCCTTCAGGTATTGCAGCCTTCTGTTTCTCTCTCTCACGTTTTTTTTTTGCTTTGTGTTTTGCTGTTGTTGATTTGTTTGTTTGATTTTACCGCTCGTGGGTGCAGTGAAGTCATACGTTGAAATTAAATTCAGACTTTTCATTATGACACTTATGAAGTCGCTTGTTCTTGAGAGGCCTGGAGAGATACGGCTCCGGAGTATTGAGGTGAACGACGTTCTGGGCGAAAATGACGTGCGGGTGAAGGTGCACAGCGTCGGCATATGCGGCAGCGATGTTCACTACTATGAGCACGGTCATATTGGTCCGTTTGTTGTGAAGGAGCCGATGATTCTTGGCCATGAGGCTTCCGGCACCGTTGTGGCAGTGGGTAGCAACGTGAAACATCTCAGCGTGGGGGATCGTGTCGCGATGGAGCCAGGTATACCCAGCTTGACGTCGCCTCAGACACTTGCTGGTCTGTATAACCTTGACCCCGATGTGGTGTTCTTTGCCACCCCACCTGTGCATGGATGCCTTAGCACAACGGTAATCCACCCCGCTATGTTGTGCTTCAGGCTACCCGAAGGCGTGAGCTACGAGGAGGGGGCGCTCTGCGAGCCCATCGCTGTTGGCATGCACTCGGCGACGAAGGCACGTGTAAAGCCTGGTGATGTGGCACTGGTCATTGGCTCTGGCACCATAGGAATTGTGACGGCTCTCTCTGCTTTAGCCGCCGGATGCTCAGACGTCATCATCTGCGACGTGGTGGAGGAGCGCCTCAAAGTGGCGGCGCAGTATGACGGCGTGCACCCAGTGGTCTCGAAGGGCGATGCTGTTAAAACAAAGGTGCAGCAATTAACAGCTGGGCAGGGTGTGGATTGTGTATTCGAATGCAGTGGATCTGCTGCGGCGTACCCACTTATTTACGAACACGCTGCGCCCGGCGCGACGGCCGTTTTGACCGGCATGCCAGTAAACCCCGTCACCTTCGACGTGGTGGCCGCGCAAGCTAAAGAGATTACGTTTCAGACCATCTTCCGCTACCGCAACATGTACCCAAGAATTATTCGTTTGCTCAGCTCGGGAAAAATGAATGTGAAGCCTCTTGTGACGGCCAGATTCAAGCTGCAGGACGGCGTGAAGGCATATGAGCGTGCCGCTTCGCGTATTCCCACTGATGTGAAGATTATGATTGAGATGGAGTAGGTATCATGACCAACAGGGCACAAAGGGGGGGGGGGGGAAGGAGCAAAACGCACGCCAAAAGAGAGGTATTATTTTGGGACGGCGCTCATCCGAATTGCAGGCACTTTCTTCTTGTTGTTTCTGCGCATGGGCATATGAGGTGGGAGGTGGGAGGTGGGGGGAAGAGATCTCATCAGAAGAAGCGGAGTGAAGTATAGGAAGAAATGAAGGAAAAACAAAACGAAAACGTTATTTTGTGTCAAGCGTCACGTTCTTGATTTTATTTTTAATTTGTATCTTATTTCTCCCTTTGGCGTAGATGTTTCTCCGCGCGTCAGCCTTTTTTTTTTGGTGACTCTGACATTTCATTTATTTTACTTTCGTTGCTGTTGTTTTGGGGAGAGGGGGGCGGGAGGTTTTATTGTTGTTTTAGTTTTCGATTGCTTTTGCAGCGAATATTTGGTGTTAGTTTTTTTTTTTTTTTGTTCCTGTCTCTGTCTGAGTGTGTGTGTGTGTGTGTGCTTGCGAATGTGTACGCTTTGCTTTTATTTTTGCATGTGTGAGAGAGGCGTGTTGTGTTTCTACGTGGGCGTGGTGGTTTGCTGTATTTGTGTTTTTGACCTCAATTCTCGTTTGCTGTTGGATGCAATAAGTGGCGGCCAGGCCGCTGATGCTGTGGATGGAAGATACATCACGTTTGGTGAGGCGTTGGGAGGAATGTCTTGCATCGGCCCGCTGCGACTCTGTGAATCTCGCCACTGAGAAAGAAACAAAGGAACGGGGACAGCAAAGACAAACACAAGCAGTAGTTGCGGAAGCGGCACCTATTGGGATGGCGGCCCTGAATTTATTGTCACAAATAGATGGGAAGGGGATCGAAGCTGCTACTGGTGACGGAGCGGCCCATGAGGGGACGGAGGCCGTCCGGCTTTGCCAGAGGTTGAGCGAGATCCTTGTGGAGGCGGTTCTTGTCATTGTGGAGTCCTGCGCTTACTGGACGGGAATGACGGCGACGGTGGAAGCGGTGTGTTGTGAGCTCAGGGCGGCGGCGTCTCAGGCGAAGGAACAAAAAGGTCTCGCAGAGAAGCTGTGCAGCTGGTGGGTTCGAGAGGAAATTGCAGAACAGGGCTGGCGCTGGTGTGAGGTGCATCTCACACTGTTGCCAGCTGATGAATCGGCATGGCGCTATGGAGCATCTCATGAGGTGACGGCACTCACCGATTGGTGGTGGCGCCCCGATGCAATGAGTTTTGTCAGCCCACACCCTGAGCATGAGACAACGTCGGCGGTTGCACGACCACTGCTCAAGGAAGTTTGTGCGACAATGGCGCAGCGACGCATTGACGACTCTTCTCTTACAGAGCTATCCGCCGCCACAGAGCTTCTAAAGGCCTTACATGCATCGTCTAGGAGTCTCTTCTCTCACCGCATAGCGGTGAGTCGTGGTGTGTTGCGACGTCTATTCACAGTAAAAGCGACAGCTCTGTTGCATCAATCCCATCTTTTGTGTTGTCTCGCCCTTCTAAGGAATACTACTAAACCATGTTATCAGGAGGTAACTAAAACAAAATATGGTGAGAGCAATGGTCATGAATTCTTGTGGGTGTCGCGTGAGTGTTTCTCGCTGGCATGGCGAAATCTTTTTGCAGCGATAACGGCGTTGCAGGTGGCTACAATGCACTTTAATGCGTCCTGTGAAGATTTGCGGCGACAAATTCGTTGGGCGTTGTTTGGCGTGAAAGAGGTGGCGAACCATAGCGAGTGTGCCTTAATACCTTCGAAAGGTTCTTTTTATGTCCACCCTTTTGTTGAACCATGTGAAAACACGTGCCGTGTTACGCACGGCGTGGGGTTTATTGCTATTGGAAAAGTTTCTGAGGGCAGTGTCATTTTGCAGGAACAACCGCTTCTTTTTGTTGATGCAGCACATCAAAACCCTACTGAGCCAGAGATGCAAAATACCGCAATGTCAACTGTGGTGGCGTTGGCGCTCGAATTGTTTCGGCGTGGCGGTATCACATTTAAGAGCGATTTGGTGACGTCACAAGTGGTGGAGTCGCTTCAAATTGGTGCTCTCTTTGGGGAGGCCACTCAATTTGGCGCCCTTTGGGCAGCGTTGCATCTGCTTGCCGTCATGCAACCAGCAGGCAGTGACAGTGGTCGATCGGAGGAGAGTTTTGCGTGCGGAATTTCCGATCTTTTGCACTGCTGGAATGAGCGCGCCATTCCATTACGCTCCGTGGAGGACTTTAGGATCGATCCGCAAACCCTTTCGGGGGAAGCTAAGGCTTTGTATTCGTTTGCTTCTTTTCTAAATCACAGCTGCTCACCAAACGCGATTCGCACCTTTTCTGAAGAGGGAGTTACCTGTTTTCCCGAGGGAGGCGGTACATTGTGTGTTGTGGCCCTTCGCGATATTGAACCCGGTGAGGAGATCACGGTCACATATCTGCCCTCGCTACTTTGTTCAAGGGAGGCAAAGCGGCAGCGGAATGGTTTTTCCTGCCGCTGTGTTTTTTGTCTCTCGTACAGTGCACTGCTGGAGGGTGTGGTGTGCCCTGCATGCCGACAGCTCATTTACGATGATCTCGGCCACAGTGAAGAGGCTTCCTCCGTGAAGTCCACTGATAGAGCAAGGAGGCGGTTGGCACCGTACGCCCACTCGCCTGATTGCGCATACGTGGGAGGTAGCCACTACAAGGAGCTTGCCGAGAACATGACACTGGGATTCAGGACGGCGCTTGACAAGGTACACTGCGAGCTTTTGGAAAATCGTGGTACTGACGCCGTGAATAAAACCGGGAATTGCATGCAGGATGGCCCTGGAAATACTCAGGGAGGGAGAAAGGAGGGAGAAGTCAGGGAAGAAGTAAAAGAAGATGGTGGTGATGAAAAACAATATGCACGGCGCGCGCAGAAGGCCGTGCGTCAGTTAATGAAACTTGACACTTTGATGTCGGGATTCCCAACGACACATCATTATCGATTGCAGGCCAGGATGGAGTGCTTGGCTACTTCTCTGAATGCCAGCCTGACGTCGCATGACACTACACAACTACTGCAACTATGTGAGGGACTGCTAGTGGATTTAGAGATGTTGTTGCCTCGAAATTATCCGCTTTTAACGGGGATACGTCTTCATTATGCTCTTGTACGTAGCCGTCACCTGATTGCCACAACAGACATCAACGATCCTGCAGCAGACGAGTATACGTCGGGGTGCTGCGGAGGCATGCGTGAGCAAGCGGAAATGATGCGTCTGCCCTTTATACAGGATAATGTCATTCGCGAATGCGTGGTGCGGTCGTTTCAAGAGCATTACGTTTACACCGGCTGGCGTTTTGCTGAGGCCGACGAGCGAGAACTTCTTCAGAGTTTTTTGCAACGATACAGGGCAGAACTGTTTGCGTGTGGCGTAGCGGATTGCTCCCACTTTTACATGTTGTCGCTGATGTCTGATGCAGAGGAGGGTGTAAACATGTAGAAGATGTGCGTGTGTGTGTGTGACGTGCGGCTGCAACAGTCGTTGTTTTTTTTTCTTTGTTTGATCCGGCGGTTTGGCTCGTTGTTAAGAGGGCAGGACGGGGACAACATCTACCTGCTTTTTACGGCACACACACAAACAATTAAAAAAAAAGGCAAAAAGAATACTAACAACTGTGAGGTGAATGTCCAGTGGATTCCATTTGCAAATTGCCTCATTTTATTTCTGTCTGCCTTCTCTTTGCCTCAACGCCGGTTTGCTTTTTGTTTTGTGAGGAAGAGGGGGGGTCAAGGAATGGAGGCTCACCACTTCCGGCTATGGGCGCGCTGTCAACGGTTTGTGGGGGACGTGTGTGCTGGTCGTGATGCCACCCACGGGCTGGCACATATGGAGAGGGTCACAGAAAATGCTCTTCTCATCCTTCATATGGAACATGGACAGGCAACGCGTTCCCCATTAACGCTCTCGCGAGTGATCCTTATCGCCATGCTTCACGATGTTGCGGACCACAAGTACGATGTGGCGAATACGCTGCTTCAGAAGGCGCGGGAGTTCCTGGTGGCGGAGATAGCGGCCATAACAGATGTGGAGGTGAACAGTGAGGAGGCGCTCAATCATGCTCTTACCGCTATGGAAGCGGTCTCCTTCTCAAAGGAGAAGAAGTACGGCATGCGGTGGTTCGAAGCGAAGTTGTCGCCCGATTGGGTTTTTGTGCGAGATGTCGTGAGTGATGCCGACAAACTTGAGGCCATTGGCGAGGAGGGGCTGCGACGGTGCCTTATGTACACAAGGCACACCTTAATGACTAGGGAAGGGCATCAGGTCTGGGATGCGGCCCTGCAGCAGCGCTGTCTGGAGGCGGTCAAGCAGCATTTTGTGGAGAAACTAAGTCTGCTGTCAACAAAGTTTATAGTCACACCTGCCGGCAAGTTTCTGGCCGCTCCACGACATGTGGCGATGGAGCAGACGTTAAAAGCATGGGACCAGCAAGGGTTGCCGTCACTGACATGACTCGCTCCCTGTTACAACTATCGAACCGATACAGACAATAACGCGTTTATAATAGTTTGTGTGTGTGTGCTTTTTTTTTTTTAGGGTTGGGTGTTGCCCCACCACTTTTTGATCTTTTTCATGGAGGTGGTGGAAATTCTCCGCGCCATTATTTTACTTTTAACTACGTGACAAAAGAAAAAAATATTATTGTTTTTATTGTTGCTCTTCATTTGACTATTCTGCACCGCAAAACAAATACATTGCTGTCCGCATGGACACCTCTTGAGGTTTGCAGCCCACATGATGGATGTCGCGGAGTTTCTCAGCGGCCGTGCAGAAGAGGTGGCCGCATTTTCTGCCCTACTGTTTCGTAAACGACCTCGTGAGCAGGGCGATGGTGGAGATGAGGGCCCGTTTCCCCTGACGGCACGATCTGTTGTTCACTACCGTCGTCCATCTTCCGCGAATGTGCCGTTGTCCGATGTGACGCGGTTGGCGAGACTTCACTTGCGGCGATCCAGGCGTTTTGTGCGACTGTTAGCAACTGAGGAGCCTCTGCCAGCATCGCCGTCACCGACAACAGCTGTGGATGAGGGACGAGTGCAGAAGAAAAAACGTCCGCTGACGTATAAGGCGTGGTGTTTGCTTTTAAGACGACGACGTCGGCTTGCGTGGAGGCGAAGAGCAACAGCACGGCGTCGAATGCGACGCCGCCACATAGCTCTCCGCCAGGGCAAGGCTCAACTTCCCCTTTGCAACTGTGGTTCTGCCGTTGCTGCTGCTGCTCCGCTTGCTGGCTCGCCACCGACTATTTCCTTGAGTGGAGGTAGGACGGCTGTGCTGTGGCTTCCCTCCCATTGGCGGTTGTGCCGTCGGTTTCATTATGGCGTTGTCAAGACACGTGTTAACGGCTGCTCCCCATTCTTTGCTGTTAATGGCATCTCTCCAAGGCTTCCGACGATAAGGATTGCGGTACCAATGAAATGCCAACGGAAACAGCATCGTGTGCTACAGCGGTGGGCTGCACGGCTGCCGTCATGTTCTGCACGGGAAAAACCTTTGCGACGGCTTGAGAGCAAACCAATGATTGTCCCACCACCCTTGTGTTTTGCGGCCGAGCGCTCGCATATGTGTGTTTGGAAAGTTCAACCATGGGAAACAGGGCATTCTTTGAGCGCAGAGGAGGTGTTAAATCTTTTGATGCTGCGCACAAATGGAACACCCTCTGTGGCTCTTCACACAAGGCATCTGGCGCTGGGAACAACGTCACAGGTTGATAGTGGGTCGCAGGGTACGTGGTGGAGGCGTTGCGAGGATGGCGTTTTTTACGGGTACATGTGGTCTTTGACCCAAACGACACGCTTCTTGAGAGGAGAAACAGAGCTGTTTGACTCCGACGCCACACCAATAGTTGTGCCTGCCAAACTCCTACAAAATGGTGGTGGTGATGGCGTGACGTACCTTCTTGTGACTTCTGCACCTGTGCACTTTGGAGCCCGTGCCAAGCGAAACTTAAATATTCAACTTATTTCTCATTGGAATCCATGCGGTGCTTCGAAACCTATGTGCTCCATGTTTGAACTCTGGTGCTGTGCCGATGCTTTCAGGGTGAAGGGAGCAGAGACGCCATCGGAAACAGATGCCTTAATTCTTCTGGAATTGATACGGAGGCGGGTGAATGCCGCTGTGGAAAGCTGGCGCAGAATAAAGGAGGGTTCTTCAAGTACGCACAAGGAAGAAGCGGGGGGAAAGCGTCCGTCGTCACCACTGCAAGCCGTGAAGGTTTGCTGTTTTCCATCTTTACCACCAAACCTTGAAACCATTGATCATCCCACCTTTCCCGTGCATAACTGTGTTATGTCTATTCTTCTTGTGTCTGCGGAGTCTTTATCCCACTTGGGAAGCTCAAGTACTGTTGCGTGGCGGAATCGCAGGCACCATTTCCAGTTTGCCAGACATCTCTTTGCTTCCCTCACTGACACCTCTCCTGCCGCACGGAGAGTGACGCGTCGTTATGATGCGAGCATGGCATTTGCGTTTCATCGCTGCCAGTCGCTTGGGTACACGCACAACGTGCGAATCATCGGCGAGGAGGAGAGGGAGACACTGCTGCGTCTGATTGGGTGTCCGGCCTTTGCAGACTTGAGCGGTGCCAATGCACCTTTTCAGGCTTCCCATATGGCCCGACTGCGTTGTGCGCCATCTAACGCGCATCGACGGGTTCTGCTGAAGTTTTATTTGAAGGGTGATCGAGAGCACCAGCATGAAGGAAGTGCCCTTTTTGCTTTGAAATCAGGCAACCCTGCCGCGCTACTGCACATTGGGGCTGTTACCTCAGCGCCATTCTTTTCAATGCGATTTGGCGCTCGTGTTGCATACGCGTGGGTGTGGGATGACGTTGGGTGGGAACTCGTCCAAATGCACATGCGGTGTGCATCACGCGCAGCCGCCAGCAACAGAAGGGACGGCTTCTATGAAGAACCGAACACGGATGACGCAACCGAGCACAGTGACGCTGGCAGCAGTGGAAGTGTATGTTTTTTGCTTTCTGCCGCTGAGAAGGTTTCACGCCTTTTGCACTTTGTGAACAACACTCCGGTCCATGTCCCTGGATGTTTTGCTCCCAACTCCCCTGTGAAGGGTGACAAAGAGAAGCAGAAACAGCAGCAGCGGCACCATAAGCGTGTTACGAAGAGGACGAGAGTGGATGCCCCTGTCGTCTCCAGCAAAATAACGTGTTGGCAGGCAATGGAGGCAGTGTTGTGCGATAGTAACACGTGTCTTCCGGTGGAGGTGGTGCGTCTTGGCACGGCCGGCGGTCGCTGTGTGAGGCTGCCAACGAGGCATTGGTGTTCTAGAGACATGACAAGGGCGTCAATATCTACATGATATGCCTGCGGTAAGCAGGCTGTTGGGGCATGTGAGTCTGCCAGTGGGGGCGAGGGGCGGAAGGAAGATAGGTTGTTTGCAAGGCTGGCGTCGGACTGTGACGTGGTAAATTACAGTGGTGGGTGGGTCGGCTTGTTCAGTGAGGGAGACGACGCCCAAATTGTCTTTTCACCTGTTCAATCAGCTTCTCCTGTCGGCTCCAAATGACCCCAGTGCGATGATCATTAAGCGGTAAGTTGCGGAATCACGCAATTTGCCGCTGAAGCTCATTTAATGTGTGGCCTTTCTGGTGTGAAAACCCCCGTGTTAAGGAGAACGATGAAGAACGTTTGTCGAGCGGTGAAGTGCAGAGAGAGGCAAGGAAGCCCAAAGGTCATCTGTGCATGGAGTTTGGGAGAAGACGACGCGCCCGAATGCCGTTGTGGACTGAAAAGGGGCACCCATTACGTTTTATGTGGGCGATGAGAACGAAAAAACAGACGAAAATATGAGGTAGTTCATAAAATTGTTTGTCTTAGTTCTTCTGCATGAGCGTGTTTTACTGTTGTTGTTTTTCCCCCCTCCCATTTCTTTCTTGAAGCAGCTGTCCGCCGGGCAACGTGTCGATGCATCACGGTCAGGAAGACAGCTGGAGAAAGTAACTCCGCTACCCACTTCTTTCCACTTTGGTCTATTTATTATTGACACCCAACTGTCTCTTTGCTTTTGTTTTGTTTTTACTTTGTCTTTGTTCGCTTTTCCATCTTGAGTCGGACTGGCGCGGATGCGTTGACATATGCAGCGCACCTATCCCTTTTTTTTTTGTTCTTTGTTCTTTTTTTTATTCTCTTCCCCCCACGCTGACAACCGTTGCAAACCGTGTTTAGCCGTTTCCGCACTGCCCCCTGGAGGGTGGACGTGTAACGAGGGCGGCGCCGTTTTTGCTGGGTATTTCCAGGAGAATTGAGAGTCCTAGCATGTCGCCGTGCGAAGCATTTTCACTTTGTGTTTTTTCTCCCTTGTTTTGGAGACGCCGTGCGTCATCCCTTTCCTCCTGCCTCAACAGCTTTCTTCCCGCTTGCAGAAGGCCTACTGCGTTGTTTCCTGCATGGTCGACTTCACTGCAGGTTACGTGCCGTTACATAAGTTTCCTCCCACCGAAGCCTCCCACGCACTGCGGCACTCCTTTGCCCCCCAATGCTGCCGAGGACGATGATCCTGTGTTTCCCTTCGTGCTGCTGCACCACACGCTGCCGCTAACGAAGCTAGCCAAGCTGCTTCCTGATGATGTGCTGGAGCAGTTAGAAAATGGACTAAAGAGTCACCTGGAAAAATTTCCTTCACGTTACCGTATCCTCCGTGGAAAGAACGAGCTTCTTCATGTCCAGTGCAGGGTGAATGCCGGCAAGAAAGACAATGAGGGAGCAAAGCAAGGCAAGGAGGAAATCACTAGTGACAAGGCTGCTGTAGGGTGGACTCAAAAGTCATTGGGCAGGTTTTTCACTTTAGAGAGTCACATGAGATGCACTCATGTGGAGCGCCCTTTGCAGCGTGTTGAATGTAATGTCTTGCATGGAATGGAAGAGGAACACATTCATATGCTGGAGGAGTTCTTCCGTGAAAATGTGCTTCCCGACAAACAGGCGGAACTATGGGTACTCACTGAAGAATACACGCTAGTCAAATTGCCGTCATCATCAGCAGCAGAAGAGGCAGCAAAAACGATTGGATTGGAGAAATCAGCATCTGCCGACTCTGAGACAGCAGGGGTGATGGAGGAAAAAGAGGTGCTTCAGGCGTTTCGTTGGGTCCAGGTTGCCGATGAACGCAAACTAAATGAGGTCAAGGACATGCTACGCAGTGAGAGTCGTAGCGGTGTATTGGGAAAAGTAGTGGATGGGAAAACAGCTCCGCACTGTGATGCTTCCCCCATAACTATTTTTACAAGGACTTCGTCTTTCGTTCGCTTCTGGGTCCCTACTGCGCCTTTCCCGGTAGGTGCCACGCCCCACCCGCGTTATGTGGAGGAGTACAATCTCTACCGCATGTGCCGTGCGTTGTCTACAAAAACGTTTATGCGGTTTCCAGAGTTGCATGATGTCGTGGGTGAGTGGCTGACGCAACCTTTAGCGTTTGTATTAGCCATTGCAGGGGAGGAGGGCAGGACGACTGAAACGCTGAACGCTGCGGGCGCAGGACGCTACCTATTGGAATTTGAGGGTGACTTCAACGACCCGGATCGCATAGTGGGGGTGCGTTTCTGGCTTGACGAAGAGCGTTACCTGCCGTCGCAATATCGCAGTATGTCGCGCCCAGAGCTAGAGAAGGCGCTCTCTGAGATGGGGACTACTTCAGGTAAAAGTCTGAGCAAACTCCCCAATCATAAGCGCGTGCGGGTTATCGACACAGCACGTCTGTTGAGACGCTGTATTGCACTGCACGAGTTGGGTGCTAGTCCTCTGTGCCACCCGGATGTTCTGGCGTACTACCTCTTTGATATTCTTCCTTTGGATGGCCAGCTGATTCTTACCGGACACTCGCCGCAGCTGCTTCCGGAAAGTGTACGGCGCATCACGGATGCGCGTTCGCGCGCGTGGTTGAAAGAATATCCACATCTCTTCCGATTAGTGGATATTCCCCCAGATGTGTACGTTCAACGTGTGGACGCCCCCGCTCCGGGCAACGAGGAGGCCTACAAGAAGGATCGGTGTCAGGAGGCTGATGAAGAAGACAAGGGCACTGCAACCAGTTCTTCTCAGAGAAAGTACGACCCTACCGAGCAACTTCTAAACGACCCTGAGGAGCAGCTTCAATTAATTATTTCCATCGTGGCGGCCCGGTTGGATGTTCTCGGGACGCGGAACTTGCTCCCGTCTCACATACCGAAATTTATCAGCACCAAAGTGCGGCGCAAAATGTTCCCTCGGGGCTTTGGTGGCATTACAGAATACCTCAAGCGGCACCCAGATGTGTTTATTCTCAGGAGTGGGATTCACCCGCATGAGCCAGTGGTCACGCTCGCTTCCAAATATCACCCCAGCCCTCATTTGCCGCTCACAAACGCTGCAGATGTCATAAAAGAAGGGAGTTAACTTCTTTACACTGTCGGGAGCTGTACATTAACGTGGAAGGAAAATATTATTATTATTATTATTATTATTATTATTATTATTATTGTTTTTGGTTGTGTGCTGTCTCTTGCGTTAGCTCCGTGTCGTTGTTGTTTATTACTTTTCACTCTTTTATGGATTTTGCATCTTGCGTGCGCAATCTCATTGATTTTTTAGCTGCAGGCTCTCTGCTTGGTTTGAGACGAGGTTTGCATCCGCGCTCGTATACGACCGTGCCACAGTAGAGGAATACAACAGAAGGAAGAGAAACCCAGGAAGAACAGGGTCATTTCAAAAGTAATAGTAGAGTCCTGAAAAACAGCAGGAAGGAATGTTTTCCGCGACAGCACCGGTTGTAGGAACAGTGGGACATGCGCTGCAACCTTTGCGTCCGACGAGGCCCATGACGACAAAACCCACCAAGCCAGATTACTTTGTTATGTCTCTTGCACGGAAACCCATGGGTCCTTCCGTTTATCCAGGTGCTGCGGCCGCGGAAGATGCTTCAAAGGGATTTTTATTGAGTGATGCAATGCATGACATGAACTTCTACACACAAGTCTCCGAGTCGTTGCCCGATGCAGGGCTTCCAGTGCTCAACTCCGTATTGTTTAGTCAGCGACATGTGGTTAACGACACTCCTTCAGTTGAAGAAGAAATTGCAAGTATTAATGAGCACATACGCATATGGCGTGCTTCCCGCCTACAGGAAGTGATCACCAAGTATGAGCACACCAATGAACAGGCCTTACTAGACGCGAAGGTGGAGCAGCGCATAAAAGCGCGTCAGACGGCAGAACAAGAGCGTGCCATGCGCCGTATTTCGCAAATTCTAGGTTCTCTTATTCCTGAATTGGAAAAGATGACGGCGTTTGAGGCGCCATCCGATGTGCTGGGCGCTGCCAGACGTGAGGCTCTGCTCAAACAGTGGAAGGAGCGGGATGAACAGCAACAACGGCTTCTGAGGGAGATGCGTCTTGCAGAACGTAACTGGCTTGTTGACCGTCAATTTCAGCGAAATGTGGAGGAGCGCAATTCACTCGAGTCGCAGCATTACTACAGTTATATGGAGCATAAAATGGATGAACGATTGGCCTTCCGTCAGCTTTGCGAAGCATTTTATGACGAGAAGATAATTGTTGGTGTAACCGATGATGAATCAGTCGTACGGCAAAGGATGCTGAGGCTGGAAACCGAGGGTAGGCTTTACATAATTGAACAGATGCGCAGTGTCATTGCCTTACCGGAAACTGCAGTAGCTTAGGAGAATGACGCGAGGGGAGGAGAAACATCACTAACCGCTCGGGTGCCAAATACACAAGAGACCGAGCAAACCCTGATATCCAACATAAAGTTTGAGGTCGTTGAGCATCTTGAGGAGCTGGGCAAACTGGTGGATGATGTCGGATCCTCTGCAGATCCAGTGCTGTGATTGGTGTATAATTGGGATATGTACGTTAGGGCGAGCTTGTTCAATGTATAGGTGAGAATAGGTGTTGGTTGTTTATCTCACGCAAGATCCTGTTGAACGGCGTTGGCGTTTAACACCTTGTCGCGTAAGTTTAGTGTTTTGGGTCGGTTTGTTTTGTGAATGTGCCAGTGTTGTTTGATTATTGTTTTGGTTTTTTTTTTTCCTTTCTCTGTTTTATTGCCTTTGTTGATGATGGCCATGGCGGCGGAAACAGCCGGTGTGGGGAAGCTGTGGTTGAAGGAGCTACTGTGGTTTAATAAAATTGGAAAGGGGCGTGTTGTATTTGTCGTGTGCTGTAGTAGACGATGCAGGCACCGCCTCCACCATACTCAAAACTTTTTCCGAATGCGGGCGGCGTAAGTGATTGCGTTAATTCCACAGCGTTATTGGTTTCTGAGGCCTCTGTTGCGTGCCCTGTAGAAGCGACGATGGGGACAACGCAAGCTGGAAACGCGGAGGGTGGTTCATCAGTTTATCCGCCTCCACCCCCGTATACCGGTGTCAGCGCGCCGACTCTCTCGTCACCCACGGCCTTGAACCTGCTGAGTTCGAAGGATGCTGACAATAGCGATGTGATTTTGCAACGTCTTTTTTTGCTGCAAGATGAAATAAACTCCATTAAGTGCCGTCTCAATGGTCAATCGTTTGATGCTGCTGTTTCGGATGTCCAGGGGCCGCCTCCGCCGCCTCCTGCACCCGCTACTGAGGAATCTTTTGTTGAAGAAAAAAAATATGCATGGAGGCGAATTTTGCTTTCGCAGCAGGAGCAAATTAGCTCTCTCAGTGAAGCACTGTGCCGTATCCTCAGCACCTTATCTGTGGTGCCAGCAGCGACAAGGAGTCATGACATAAAAGAATCTGCACAGACAATAAATGACAATAAAAACGTACGAGAAAGGGAGACAAAAAGTTGTGTTAATGAGAATATGGATTGCGGGGCCAAAAAGATGTGTCAGGATGCCTCTGTTGGGTCTCTCATGGGAACCACAGTAGATCTTGTCCATCTGTTAACAACCTTGTATGGCCTTCCAGTCATCTCTTGTGGAGGTTGCCACGAGCAGCTCCACCCTAGAGCTGGTGAGGAACTTATTGCAGCGGCCTTGGGTACCACCAGTCACGATTTGCTGGAGCTATATGCTTCGTTGCTGGTGTTGCGTCTGAATGAGGGGTATGCTGCCGCTGAGTCCAATGTAGGTGGTCATACATCAGTAGGCATCCTTGTGAGAAATAGTGGGGATCTGACGCAGAAGGCGTTGGCACCGTTACCACTACCTGTGCTTGAATCAGTGTTGGAGCGAACACAATTCCCATCTGAGATACCAGCGTACCAAATCGCTTTGGCAGCATGTAAGGTGTATCATCAGCGGCATTTATCGAAATTAACATCATTTTCAAGTCTTAAGTCATTATCAAGTTTGTGTGTCATGTCATCATCCTTACCATGCATCTCCAGCAGTCACTGTAAAGAAGAAGCGGAAGTTTTCTTGCACTGCGTGCGCTTTCTTTGGCTTCCGTTGCACTTCCTGGAGGAGGAGCTTCGGCGTTGCGAGGGTTTGGGACTGGTGGCAGAGGCGCGTCACTGTGCCATCTACGCGGGACTACTGATGCGCCTTCGTCAAGCCATTCAAGCAAAGAGATGCTTAAATGAGTTAACAACAACACCAGCGCGGTCTGTTCCTGCTGTTTTCACCGCTGAGCCGTTTCTTACAGAGTTGAACCGTGTGCGCCCTTCATATGACTTTCTTACTTCATCGGAAAAGAAACAACTAATAGCCGGTGAAAAAATGGATCTTGTTCAGTCCTGGCGGATACAGAAGCGCTGTGATGCAACTCTGTACTCGCCGGCTGTTTGCCACATTTGGACGGCTACCAGTTGCAGTTGAAGTTTCTTTTGGGGGCATTTCACTTGATGGGTCTTTTTCTGCCTCCATCATCTATATGTCTGTGTGAGGTGTAGAGGGTTTTTGAGGCCAAAATATTTCGTTTATGGGCTCGCTACTGCTGGGGGGATTTTGCATAGGTGCATGGACTGATTGTTGGTTGAAATTGAGATGCCTGTCACTCACTCTCCAACTCTTCCCCTTCCCCCCCCCCACACACTCCTTTTTTTTTTCTTTTTCGTTTTCCTGTGGTGAAAAAAAACTGTGACAAAAAAAAAATCCTTTAAAACAACGGTGGTAGGGGGAGAATCCAAAATACCCACAAGAAAAGGGAGATTTTGTAGGAGTAGCGGGTGCTTCTGATTGGGGAGGAAGATTGGTTGTGTAGGCAGACATGCGTGAGAAGGTTGTGCCCATTCCATTTCTGGGCAAAGAAGTCTCCGCGTGGCTCTACCGTACAACGCGCCGTGTGCGGGAGCACCCATACCGGGCCAGTGGTATTGTTCTTGGCGTTGCTGTGGGCAGCATCTTGTACGAAGCGAATGTGACACACAAGGATCGCATTCCCTCGCCTAATGTGAACAATCACCTCGAGTACGAACTTCTTCACGGAGCGAGGGTGGCGCAATCGACAAGAGACGACGTATTAGAGGAGCCTCAGCATCGGGCAGGACTTCATGTCATGAACAGTCAGACACTTGATGAAAAACGGCACAACCACAACACCGCGGTAATGGGACGCGTGAAGGAGCTGGAACGACTCATTGCGAACACCAGTGATTCTGAGAAGCGTGAGGAGCTGCAGCACATTCTCGACAAAGAAAGGGAATACGAGAAGAAGCATGGCAATACAACGATTAAGGTGACAAATGGGCAGCTTTATGTTCGTGAGCCGCACTGGAATATTCGAAACAATGAGCGTAATTGGACAATTCTGGCGCGGGACCAGCAGCAGCAAAAAGATCACTACTGGTACCGCCTGGAGCGAAGTCGTGAGGATGACTTTGCGAGAAACACATACTCGCATTCTTGAGCTTGTAATGATGGCGACACGCTTGTGTGGGGAAGTGTTACAAAATGGGAGGTGGTGTTGCAATTGTTGGTCTTATAGATTTGTGGTTCTTGTCACTCTGCATACAATACAAAACAAAAATAAAAATGGAGTATCAATCTCTCTCTCTCTCTCTCTCTCTCTCTCTGTGTGTGTGTGTGTGTGTGTGTGTGTCTGAGGAGGGGAGGGAGTGCAACTTCGCAGGGGAATA